TATTTATAAACGGACATATATATAACAATACATACCTCTGTACAATCTGTTCGGTATCACGATAGGTATCAACGGCTGCTTGTCCTACTACAGCTTCAATACGCCGTGTACCAGCAGCTACAGCAGATTCGGTCAGAATGCGAAACGGAAAGCACTCGATAACCTGATCCACGTGGGAGCCTCCACATAACTCAGAGCTGTATCTATTCTGGTAGTGTATGTGCAAGAGAAGCATGAGAAAGGTATGTATGTGCATACATATACATACGTACATGATGCAGTATGGATCGAAGCAAAGAGAGATGGGATACAGATACACAGAACATACTCCATTATTAGGTTGAATGAGGGTTCGTTATGCACCCCTTGACTCTTTGTTTGCAAAATATGATTCGGTTATTGCTAATCATTTGAAGTGCTACCAATTGGAGTCACCATAACATACGTATTGTCACCTATTGTAAATGTCTTATGAAGCATACCGAACTGTAATCAAAGACTACCTACTTATGCAAATGCCAAGGTCAAGTCTTTGCAACCGTAGACTCGCAACTCAAAGTTAACAGCACAACCAAAAATAAATACATATCACATAGGCAATGGTCTATAGCTGCGGCATGGCTGAAACAAAGCATACTTTGAAGCCGACAAAAGCCAAAAATATAAATAAACCCATTTCACATAGGCAATGGTCTATAGCTGCGGCATGGCTAGAAACAAAGCATACTTTGTAACCGACAAAAGCCAAAAGCCAAAAATAATTTCACTTCACATAGACAATGGTCTATAGCTGCGGCATGGCTAAAACAAAGTAACCAACAAAAGACCAAAATAAAATAAACCCATTTCACATAGGCAATGGTCTATAGCTGCGCATGGCTAAAACAAAGCATACTTTGTAACCAACAAAAGCCAAAAAATAAAAATAAACCCATATCATATTGGAAATTGGCCGAAAACAAGCATAGTTTGTAACCGGCTAAAGCCAAAATAAATTAAAAACAATCTCATATCACATAAGGAATCGGCTAAAAACAAGAATACTTTGTAACCGCCAAAAGCCAATAAAAATTAAAAATACAATAAACCCCATATCACATAGGGAAGTGAAACAAGCATTGTTCGTAACCGCCACAAGATCACACAGCACTTCCACATACCCCGTCCAGGCCCGTCAATGTGATCAAATAAAACAAACCCATATCACATTGGGAATTGGCTGAGAACAAGCATTGTTCTTTTTTAACCGCAACAAGATCTCACAGCACTTCCACATACCCCGTCCAGGCCCGTCAGTGTGACCAAATAAAAACAAACCCATATCACATTGGGAATTGGCTAAAAACAAGCATACCTTGTTACCGCCAAAAGCCAATAAAAATTAAAATAAACCCCACATCACAGTGGGAATTGGCTGAGAACAAGCATTCACTTGCACATACCCTCACACAGTACTCTCACATACCCCGTCCAGGCCCGTCAGTGTGACCACCCGCACATCGTCTTCATACTTCTCACCAAACAGGGCCATGGCCCCGCCATTGATGGCTTCCATATATGGTAAGCAGTCCGTTGTGACCGTTCGTGACGGCGGCGCTGGTGCAGGTGCGTGTGCAAGTGTACCTACAGCTGTGTGTGGCTGTGTGTGTGCGTGTGCGTGCGTATCTGTGTGTGTATGTGTATGTGTATGTGAATGTATGTGTGGTGCTGTGTCTGCACCCGATCTCGAGAACACATTGATAGCACTCTCAATGCCTCGCAGTTGTTTGGCCGTCAGAGCTTTTGAGTGCGTAAAGTCGAAGCGCAGACGGTCGGGGGTCACCAAGCTCCCGGCTGAAACCAAGTTTATATGGACAGAAAAATAAAACAGGTTTAGAAACAGAGCAAACCCCTGAGAGACCTCGCAGTGTTGCGCTTTAGTGTTTTCCGGGTTTGGGGTGTAGGATTTTAGGGTTTAAGGTTTAATCCCTTCATGTTTCACAGGCAACCCAGACAAACGCATACTAAAAAGTAACCAATACTGATGCATACGAATACGTATACATACTTGCACATATAAGTTAGCTAGGTTCTCCTTGTATAATATGTTCACCCACCACAATACGTTAAGCAACTGCAGACAGTGGTAGAATGTATGGGTATCACCTCATACGCCGCCAACCATCGAGCACACGGATACACAGATACACTTTGTATATATATACTTTATATAAGTATACATACTTGGAATAGCGGTGTACATAATTGTAATACAAGTACGTATACTTTGTATAATATATATATATATATATATATATATATATATATATATATATATATATATATATATATATATATATATATATATATATATATACACATATATATATAGAACATACCTTGGACCACATGTTCTCCTAACACCTTTCGCAGTGTCGCGTGTAGACAATGTGTGGCCGTGTGGTGTTGCGCAATGCGTTTGCGTCTCTCGGCATCGACAGAGGCGCTGACAGTATCGCCCACACTGATCAGCGGTATATCTCCAATCTGATTGGATGTGCTATTTACAGTCGTGTTTTCATTGGCTGTGCTATTCATAGCCGTCCGTCGCATTCGCACTGCACTCATACCTTTGTAGGGCGTGAGAGTGTCGACGACTGTGTATGTGCAGCCATCGGCGGTATCTCCCGTGGTTGCCATGACAACACCGGTGTCACCCACTTGGCCTCCCGATTCGCCATAGAAAGGACAGGGATCTAATACAGCATACACGTCATTCTTCCTGCAGAATCATCAGTGGTTCAGTGTGTCCGTGTCTTAGTACACCAAAGACGGTTGTTCATGTTAGGGCAGTACATACCCTACTCAGAGGTACTATGAACGAATGAATATGAACGAATGAACTCAAATGCTACACGTAAACACCGCATGTGATCTGATACTGGGTACGATATCACACAAACATTATCAAGAAGAGTACACCCACTGGCATATAGCTATACCATTGCATTTACAAGTGATCAGAGAGAGACACTACAACACAACGCACAACATTATCCGTTATAGTATAAGCACATAGACATTCCTATACGTACACATATATAAGCAATCATAAGTGACGCTCAGGTACATAGACATTCCTATACGTACACATTTAAAAGCAATCATAAGTGACGCTTGGGTATGCCAGCCTATATTCTCAGGGTATACACTTACAAAAAGCACCACATGATAACAGCGTGCACCTACTCGTCCACGTGCACTGCCCTGACTACGGATTGAATAGGGCCGAATCTGTCCTGAAAAGTGCTGCGAATGCCACTCTCACCCCAGCGGCGCATCACTGTGGCCGCAGTGGGTCCTTTGTCCGACATTTGGGTCCGATTTTTCTGCCTATTTTTATAATGTTTATACGACATTGCGATCAACTCAGTGTATGGAATATTCAAAGGTCGTTAATTCAAAGGATAAAGAGAGTGCACAAGACCACTATCATGCACGTACACACAAGCGCGCCAAAGCATGTGCGGCAATAATATCTTTACGTTTTGCACACAGTGTAATTTACGCCTTCGTTCTCAGTTCTTTTTCCTACTACATTAACTAAATATTTTACGTTTTGTACACACTGTTGACACATTTGTTCACAGTTCACGTGCTGGCTTACTCTTGCTGATGTGGTATGCGTGAGCTAGCACTTTTTCTTACTACATTAACTAAATATTATTTGTTTTGCACACACTGTTTACACATTTGTTCACAGTTCACGTGCTGGCTTACTCTTGCTGATGTGGTATGCGTGAGCTAGAACTTTTTCTTACTACATTAACTAAATATTTTACGCTTTGCACACACTGTTTACACATTTGTTCACAGTTCATGTGCTGGCTTACTCTTGCTGGTGTGTTTTACGTGAGCTTGTTCTCTGTTCATCGATAACGTCCTCGACTGCTGCAAGGTCCAGGGTGTATCTGTGACAGAAAAGAACCCACTCAGGTCAAGAGCCAAGTCTAAAAATAGCACACTTGAGACATCATTGATCTGAAACGAATAGAAACCACTACCAATAGCACAGTTGAGATATATTATTTATTAAAGATAAATGGTATCATTTGAAAATAGGGCATATGAGACAAAGTATTCAACGATTACAATATCTAATAAAAGCACACTGGAGGCATATAGTATTCACCTAAGATATATATAAATATATATGTATATATATATATACATATACATATATACACACACACACACATATATATATATATATATATATATATATATATATATATATATATATATATATATATTCATATACACGTATATATATATATATGTGTGTGTGTATATACATATATATATTTATATATATATGTGTATATTTATATGTATAAATATATATATATATGTATGTATATATATAAATATATATATATATATATAAGGGGGATGCCGAATTTAAATACTGATTTGTATGCAAGTGTATATAAATAGCCAAATATGGCAACTTACCCGTTTTGGCGCGCCATGACCATGGTCACATCCACAGGCAGCCCATGCCGTTCGAGCAAATGGAATGCTACCATTGGCGGGAACACACTCTGTTCATTCGCATCTGATTGGTGAAAAGTTATACCTTAACAATGATGCTATCTAATTGACCTTAAATACTATCAGCCTAGCAAGAGAGGTACAGGGGAGCTACGACTTTCAATGATGCTGGTGTGGGTGTACCTTGTCACGGAAATGTATTCCAAAAATTGACATGTCGAGTTGTTGACACAGATTTCAGACATATATTTATAGTAGAGCTGGTATGCGTATGTGCAGATGCGTTTTAATA